ATTGATTATGTTAAAGTATTTTACGCTTCCGCAATTATGTAACGAATTATGTTAAACATATTATGTGTGTTTGGAATTTTAAGTTCGTATTTTTGTTCATGACACAAGTTATTAAGAATGACGTCACGACACTCGAATGGAAGGAAAAAAAAAAATCGGGGCGTGACACTTTTAAACTGTATTTTTTTTAATAAACAGTAAATCTTTAAATGTATCTTTTGAAAAGATGCAGTCAAATTAAAATACTTGCTCATAATTTGTTCTTGTGGGATAACTATTTTCATCTTTACCAATATTTTTCTAGAGTTCATATTCACTTCCAACAAAAAATATGCACAGATATTTATGTACAAAAAATAAAACCGACACACATCTCATCCTTAGTAAAGTTAGAACCTTTAGATAGTTGGAGTTATATTTGAGAGGCACTTTTTCCAAAGCGGATCCTAAACAATCTAGATGCTTAAATCTATCAACTAGAAATCAGCCAGATACAGCCTTCGGGTGTGTAGCTGAGTTGGCAAGGTAACGGAGTGACTTTGCTCAAATATTACATGATCAAGAAGAATATTTGGCTTGCCACCAACAAACACGAAGAATGAATACAAACTACCAAAGTGTCGTTTTCTGCATTCGCTTTCAACCCGAGGTTCTTGAATTTGCATTACATGGCTGCAATTGATGAGTTAATCAACCACTGCCACATTGGTTAGAGAAGAACACGAATCCGGCTTCAAATAATAACGTTAGGCTTTCAAACAGAGAACGAAAACTAATCGTTTGTTTCTAACAAGCGAGTGAACGAGAACCTGCAGCAACAAAAACCAGTTGTTCAGAAGAACAAGTAATGTTGACACAATGACACCCTGCAAAACTAATATGATGGAGAGGAGAAGACATTCATGCCTTAAAGATTTGATCTTTGTGTTTATGTAAAAATCACCTATTTTGAACCTCCAGCTGAAAAAGAACCGACGTATTTGTTGTCCATTTCATGTATATATATCCTTGGAGGTATTTCCCTGTAAATTTTAATGTTAGTTAAGAAAAATGGGAGATAAAAAACGATGAAGATTATAATTGAATCATATGTACTAACAATTCATTTGCTTCTTGGTATGTGTAGCTTGAAGCAACAGCCAGAAATTGTCCTCCATGGTTGTATGATAAGGAGGCGATACTGTTTTCGAATTTCGGCATCTGAAAGGATGACAAGGTTAAAACTGAAACCAAACCAAACCAAACTAAACGAACCCACACAGAGGAGGATGTCATTATCGGATTATGTAAAATACCTCAAGTACTCTCTTTTTACTTTGAGCATTCCATATGGTAACATAACCATCGTTATTACCAGTAACGAACGCGCCATAAATCCTAATCACAAAAAGATTATCAAAGTAAACCTCTGTGAATAATAATTTGTTGATGAGTAGTCAAAGAAAGACGTACGATGGACTAAAAACAATATCGTTCACAGCTGCAAGTTCATGCCTTTTCTCCTTTGCCTTTGGATGACATCGAAAAGCATACCTGCACAAAAGAATGGTGGCAATAACATATAGTTAATATTCGATATATTAACATGACAAGAGTACTAGAAATGGAAAATGCATGTTATTTTAAAGCTTCAATAGAGTATCATGTCCAGTTGCAAGATGCATAAACATACCCATCATTGTTTCGGTTGGATGGATTAAAATACTTCAACGCTACGCGTCCATCAACTGATCCAGCCGCAAATCCTGCATTAAAATAATAAATAAACCCGCCTAAAACTTTTGTAAACAACAACTGATTCATGTATAAATTTCCACAATGGTTTGTATTTTGCATTCTTTGTAAAACAATAGGTCACCTACATAATTATTCAATTGTGCAATACAGTATCAACCAAACAGACCCAGTATATCCTATCTGGAGGTATGGAATTGCACAAGATAGAATATCTTAATGAAACAAGTTAAAGATAAAACTTAAAAAGGTGAGCATCGAATCAACATCATAAATTTAAGAAACTAAAATAGCATTAAACATCAATAATAAGTACTACGAGGGTCATGAAGATTTAGTATTGAATACCTTGATCCAGATATGGCCGGACACAATTAATTTGGATGTCCACGCATTTGCTATAAAATGAATTGTTGAACTTGCGTAAGTCATACATATTCACTGATAAGCCAGCAGCAACCATAACAACGAACCCATAGAGGGACATAGATTCAATTCCCACACTAACAGTATGTACACAGGAAAGATCCATCATTGAACGTGAATCCCAGCACTTAATCTTTTTATCCCAACCAGCAGTAATAACTTGACCTGGGAAGCAAAAAAGAACACCAATTTCAGGAACTCAAGATCAGAGAGGCACAAAAGTGGCAAGTATAGAAACAGTTCAGATATGATTAGTTTTATTGGCATTAAATGTATTTAGCTGAACCCCGAAGTACAAATACGCTCTTATAATGTTCAGAGGACTAATCATATGCAAGCTCGGTTATTTATTTAATATGTTTACTTATTTTCACAAGACTTCTTAACTAATCTTTCTACATGATCCCTATGCATACTTGATAAAGATAGGCGTTTGCCTAAAAAAGATTATGGTTGTTCATCCTTGCTCAAAATTGATTAGCTATAAGCTTGGAAGTACAACTGTTTATGGTTTACCTGTTTCATTGGAATATTCAACACAGGTTGCTAAATCATCATGATTTCCAAAACTTTCGCTCATTCCTGAATGCAAATCATACCTACAAAAAATTTCAATACAAGGGGTCATGCGTAGATTAAAGTTAAGAAGAAGACATCTAAACTATATTTTGTTATAACCTAAAATCCACTCAGGAGCCGAGACAATAGAAGGCTATTGCTTGAACCAAAATTGGCATGATTAAAATGAATATGTGATGGATGAATTGAAAACTGAAGAGTGCAACAAAAGAGCACATAATCATTAAAAACTAGAGAGGTTAACACCTAAAATATAAGTTCAGTATTCACTACCAACAAAGTACATAAAGGGAAAACAAATTTGAAAGTTTTAATCAATCATGTCTTAACGAATCACTCTACCAATAAAATTTACCTAATATATTGAGATGCCTTCAATCTAACCCAAATGAGGAGTCCCTGTTGATCTGTTTAGTACTCAAATTCTAAGGGCATGTTCTTTGGCAGCTAAATGAGCTTAATGGAACTCATAGCTTATTCGGTTAGTTATACATGATTGTTTGGTAGTTGCTTAATGAGATAGAAAGTAGCTTATTTAGTAAGCTTATAGGGGGAGCTTTATGCAGAAAGCCAAGTTTTTTCCGAACTTGTCTCTCAATTAAAAAGCACGTTCCTTCTATCTAAATAAAAAAACCCTCACAAACAAAACCTTCCCAATCTATACGGATTAAATTAATCCACACCGGTAGCTTTATCCATACAGGACTTGATGTCAAACCAACCAAACAGCCCCTAAGATGAAAAACCTCCCACCAGTCGGTAAAGCTAACCTTGAAGCAGGGGGCAGTATCTTTGGTTGATGGATATTTGGTTTCCATCATCCATCTACATTTCAAATTTATCTTACACTTGTATTAAAGTCCGTATATATTTTGACTGTATTAAGATCTGGCACATCAATTTCCCTTTCATATTCTCTCTTCTATACTGTTTTTTCCATATAGTTAAAACTCACTCAACCCTATGTGTCTGATTGTTCATTTTTGCTTGGTTACTACCCACAACAATAGATGGTATCTAATCATAGTGTATCTTTTCACTTAAAGGAAAAACGTAACATATTTGCCCAAAAAGTCTAGCAAACTTGTTCCTGTCTCCAGAGGATCTCCAACCATATGAAAGTGGCACAAAATGGATGTTGTCCTTCATTTAAAGGCTATATATTACTGCCTTTTAAACTCTAATGCATTCAACATAACAAAAACCAATTTTCCATGGTATTTATGTATATGTTCTTACTAAGAAACTTCAAGGGTACACAAAGATATCATAAGGAAAAGCTATGCATCACTGAAACTTGAATATTGAATCATGATACAGCATCAAAATTCACTCCTTTTCCATAGAAGACTTAACTTTGACCTTCAGGAGAATAGGCATAAATCCTGTATTGATATCTGAAAATCAACTCGGTTTTGTTTGGGGGTTTGGGGGAAATCAACTCAGTTACATTGAAGACAACCACAAATTTATAGCATTAAGGCGAATTCCCTAAAGAATATCTTTAATCAGAACCCAACAACACATTTATTTCGAGATTCCAGAGTTCACATGTCCAGAGTTACCATTTCAATATAACTATAAGTAAACAGCAGAAGCAAGAAAACAAACCTAGTTATGGAACAATCAGAAGCAGCAGTAAACGCAGCTGACTCCCCTTGGAAACAACAATCTAGAAGCGCAGCTTCACTAGAAGCTTCAAAAACCAGCTGAGATGTATCCACATCGTACAATCTAAGATTCTGCGCTTACAATATCTCAAAATTCAAAACATGCCCAATTGTAGTATAAACAGTTGCGCGCGCGCGCGCACACAGGCACACAAGCAAAGTCGCGTAAGAAAAGGTTACTTACAGAATCCCAGGAAGAGATGAGGAGATTGTTGGATGCTGGGGCGAAGCGAATTCTGGAAATAGCGTCTTGAATTGGGTTTCTATCGAACTGCAAACAATTTCCATTCATCGTCTTAATCTGAATATGGTTGAAGCCTTGAAGTTACTGAGCCCTAAAGTACATGAGGGTTTAGAAAGAATCAGAGAAATAAGAAGCAAGTTGAAGTTTTTTATATCGGAGCTTTCCCGCTCGCTGTTCCTGTTCAATTTTACAAGAGAGAGGGGTGTTGACTTTGTAAACCATATTAATTATTTAATTTATTTAAAAATGCAATTTGATAAATTAATCCTTTATTTTGATTAATAAAAACTAAGGAGTCATTTAAACGTTTATCCGGATAAGCGTTTATCAAGTCACGTTAATTTACCGAATAAATATGATAAAGACCAAGAATTTTATTCGGTAAGAACAATGAGAGTCTTACCCTCTAAGTGAGGACGGCAATTCTCACCACAGTAAGCGTTTACCGGATATATTGTTACATATGATGTCGTTTTGGTGGAATAAAATCTTACCCGGTAAATACATAATAGTTTAAATTTTACGGATAAAAGCTATTTTTTTATTTATGTATAATTTAAAATAGTACCCAAATAATTAACAATAAAATACATTATGCTTTTTATCTTTTAAGGGTTAAGTTAAGATCATTATTCCAATAGTAATACAAGATCACGAGATAATTGTTATAAAGACTCCAATTTAAAGCATATGAATATTTACAAGGTTTGCTATAGATTATAACAAATTCCAACCATCAAACACCACCTGACCCAACAAATTTCATCCCTTCTTTTCCAGATTCCGTTCTCCGGTCACCGGAAAAGCTAAAAATCATTCACTCGGGACGTAGAAATCAAACTTAACATCCATCGAACCAGAAGTCGATCCATTGTCCTTGTATTCCACGTTCATAATCGTTCCCTCCCCGTCTTCTTCTTGATATTCTGCTTTCACGCGTCGCACAGGCACCGTCACCGAGTAGATCGTTCCGAGTGCAGGGTCCGTAGACACGCTGAGTTGGACTTTATCCTGTGATTCAATCACCACAAAATCCGAAAGGGCGTTGACTATATTGCTGACTATCTTCTGTTTCGCTTCCTCACTAACTGCACATCGGTCGGAAAACAGAATCATTTTCAACCTTTGTTTAGCAACATTCGCATTTGAGTTCTTGATCATCGATGGAGATGGGAAGACGATCCGCCATGCCAAACTTAATCGCTCAAAAAAACTCATGTTTATGGCGTTCAACAAGAAGCTTTCCGCATCTTGGTTAACGGAGCTTGTGGACATCTCGTAGTCGCTGATGATCCCGAGGGGTCGTTTAGCATGGCAGCGCGTGGTCTGGGCATGGACCATTGAAGCTGGCCACTTGGGCATGTTTTCGGAAACAATCGATCTTCCGCTTAGGAAATTAACACAATCCGCCTGTATTCAAGAAGAGTATTTGTTTCAGAAACACACATCATGATGTATAAGAAGAACACTTATCATTGGTTGGTGATCAAGAACCCAATGACACACAAGGAAAATAGCTTAGGCTAATAGTGTCTCATAGTTAGGTTACCAAGAGTTCTAAGTTAGACTATGGGTGTAGTATTCTTACATTTGGCTATGTTTTCTTGTACATGCTTCTGTCATTGTTGTTGCTTACTTCTATCTAACTTTTCAAAATTTAAGTTTTTATTTTTTTAATCTTCTTTTTCTTTATATTTACTGAAGAAGGAGCAAACTTTCTCTTTCTTCAAATATATTTCACAAGTTATGGGTCTTCACGGAAAGAGAAGCTCTATTCACCAGGGTAGAGGTCACGTATGCATACATCTCATACCCCCCCTTTTCAGGGTCGGGTATACTGGGATTGTTTGTTTTGGATTTGTACATTTTTAATATGAAGGAATAATGAAACACTCAAAAACCTTTCGGTTTTTTAGATAAGTAACGGAATCGTCAAGAAAACCTACGAGCATCCAACGACCAACAACCTATTCAAGTTGCAGCTATGTAGTTACACTGTTTAGAAAGAAGCAAACTTGTTAGTTAGGCAGCAATCCCTGACCTTTACAAAAAGAAAGAAACCAATGATCCAGGAACCGGCATTGGCACTGAATAAATATTCTCTCCAGCATATACCATTTGTGTTCAAAAATATAACTTGCCCAATAACCAGCCAGGAAGCCATAAACAAAACAAATATAAGAACGCACTGTCCTTCTATCTTTGCTGCGTTCCTTAAAAAACGAAGTACAAAGAAAATACTAGGGACACTAAGGGCCTGTTTGTTAATAGCTTAATGAACTTAATGGGACTCACAACTTATTCAGTCAGCTATACATGAGTAACATGACGGTTTGTCTGTTTGGTAGTAGCTTAATAATATAGAAAGTGGCTTATTCGGTAAGCTTCTAGGGGGAGCTTTATACAGAAAGCCGAATTTTTCCAAACCTGCCCCTCCCATTTAAAAACACGCACCTTCCATCTATGAAAAGAAAATCTCCCAATCTATACAGACAAATTAATCCACAAAGTCAACTTTATCTATACAGGACTTGATGGAAAACCAACCAAACAGCCCCCAAGGATCTTCGGTTAAGAACAAAAAGAAAATTCTCTATAATATCTAAGGGCTCCAACTCCAGGAAGTCGGATCATACAGGATAAAGGTGTTATATATGTATAATGTGTAAAGGTCTGAATTGTTGCATATCTTATGTAAAGGAAGATCTTATAGGCTTATAATTGATCACAATGGCTAGTTAAAGTTAAACTGTAAAGGAAAAACTTATGTGCTCCATTCTACATTAACTTTGAGAATGAATGTGCAATGGGAATCAAATAAATACAAAACCACATGGAACATTACCTAACCTGTGACAGCAAATATGGCTGGTTAAATTATATGCTATCTCCACCTCGACATAAAGTAACAATTTATGAAGCAAGTGGTTTAACAGTAATGTCTGGCCGTTGATCATATATCCAAAATGTTCCTTAAGGATCACTAAATATAAGAATCTCATGGACCATATCTTCACTAAATAAAGGTAACATTCTTTCAAACTGATTCAGTTTGGTTCGGTTCGGGATTCTGGTACTGACCAAAACCTAAATAAACCGAACCAAACTGGTTAATGCATTGATGAAGTTAATATACTTTTTGGAAATATTACCTTGTTTAACTTTATTTTTATTTATTAAACTTGATTTAAACCATCAAAACCAACCAATGTAAAATGAAACTGACTGGTTCAATTTGGCTCGGTTTAAGGAGCTACATGGTTTGGTTTGGTTCCAAAAATTAAAAAGCCACCCGAATTGTTGCCTGTACCAGTCTCCTTCAATCGCTCAGGGTATGCTAAGGCATGGCATGCATGGTTCTAGAAATATAAAATCAAACCAATTCACTTTCAATCCTCCACCAAAACCACCAACTAAGAGGTGTAAAAACAACTACACATAAAACATAAGTGCTCATCGGAAAAATACTCATTGCGTGCCAGATGAAGTGTAAAAATCACTATAGATAAAACCTAAGTGTTCATAGGAACGCCAAATGGATCAAAATGAGGACACTCCCAGATTCCAACACTTGCCAAAACCTTGAATATCTACAAGAGACTAATATCAGAGCAACCGGATAGATCGCATCCTCTCAAATCCGCAAAAACCCCTAATTCCAAAACAATACGTGGATACATCGGGAAATGTTTAAGCTTCAACTTCATCAAAATTTCCCCAAATTCACCCAACAAATTACCAAAGCAACATGAAAACCAACAATAAAATTTAAACACCGATCCTAATTATCAGCACCTAATGTAGGCATTAACAGACGTCTCTTTAAATTTACATACACAAAACTGAAATGCAACCAAGAGAGAGAAGGTTTTAGAGCTCAGACCTTAGGTGGTAAATTGATGCGGAGGATGTTCGTAGGAGAAGAACCCAATGCAGCAGACACCCTAAAATCACCAGAAATCGCCATTTTTCTATTTCCTTGGTTCTGATTGTGGGGTTCGTGTATTTGGGTCTTGCCGTCTTGGTTTAGGGCTTGTTTCCCGATTGTATCGATAATTTCAGGTACTCGACAACGGTACTTGCTGAAACTTTACTGTTAAAGCTACTTGCGCTGTTACCTGCTACGACGTCGTATGACTTAAGAGCGTAACCTGCACAAAAAAATTACTTTACTAACCCCTTAACTATATCTTTTGCTCAAAAAGAACCTTCCAGTTTTATTAATGCCCATCAAAGAGCACAAAAGCAAACTTTTTTAATTCTTATCCATCGGTATGCAATTACTCCATTCTTTTTCCTAGTTACGTATTTCATATTGTCTCGTTTGAGTTGCTAATTGGCCTCTACTTGTTAGGAATGGGTAAAGGTAAACCCACATACGTTTTGAAGCCGTTTGGGTAGCCGGAGAGTTGTTAAATCAATCAAAACGTTGAAATTATTGTTTTCGGTAAAAATTGAAACTTTAAACTGTAATATCTTCCTCAAAACTCGATGTTTTTGAGTGATTCTTGCTGCTAGAATATGAGGAATCGAAGAACTAAAATTTAGAAAGAAAAAAATCATCAAAAACGGATGAAAAACTTAGCTACACAGCCCAAAACAAGGAGATCGCCGGAAAATCGACAAAGCCGCAAGAAAACGGTGCCGTTAACACTCCGGCGGGGGATGGGTCTTAGATAAGGGGTATTGGGCCTGATCTGGTTGGCCTTTAGAATGGTCCAAATAATTATAAATTTATTTATTTTGTCTTAAAAACCCCAAAAGTTTGATTTTAAATTAATTAATTGTTCGATAATTAATTTAATTTGGTAAGGGTTTATTAATTAAATAAATTACTGAAATTTATATATTTAATTAGATATATTCTTTTTAGTATTATTTAATTATAGAATGGGTAACACTAAATTATCAACAGATCTCGAATTTATTTAATTGGGACATCGAGATTTCCTAACGTTAATAATTTGACGCAAATAAGTTTGATTGGTTAATTTTTAATTTTAAGTGAGCAATAAGAAGTATAATTAAGGGTTGATCGAGGTAATCGTTAGTTGACTTTTAGGTTGTCATTGGAGAAAATATAGACGATAATCGATATTATTGCGTCTATAATTGTAGGTTATTATTTGGAGAGAAGTTCTAGCGAACCGACACTATCAGATGAGTTTTTCACGAGATTTCACTAGAATGTATACATACATACAAACTATTTTTACATGTATGATGCGTGATATTATATGTATATTTGTTAAGGTGTTAATTACACGTTATTTGTAATTGGTGAGTTACATGCATATGATTTTAAATTATGGTGCATGCATGCTAAATTATGTTACATTTATTATACATAAATCGCATGCATATGGTTTGGGGGTTCGAGTTAACATGGTGTGTTAACCAGGGTATGGGATATCAGCTCGATATGTCACATTTAGGGGATGCACGACCCGAGATCGGTGGTTAGTTCTTTGTGAACCTAAACGCCCAGGTAATTTCTACATATTGTCCAAAAAGTTGTAATTCAAAAAAAATAGTAAATAAAACATTGAAAAAAATAGTATTTTATAGGATCCAAAAAGAATTTAGTATTATATTAAGGATCCAAACATGTATTAATTAATTACATTAGAGAAAATAATGTATAAATAATTAATTGATCGTTCATTTTATTGTATTGTTTTCTTTGAAATCAATTATATGGTACCAAAATTTAAAACTACTTTACCTGAAAACCTTGATAGATATCCTGTCATTCATATCCCATTGACTCTTTTGATTCTTTCATCTATGAATTCTATTTTTGTATTAAAATATAGTAGATTTCTTGTTATTAACTAAGAAAACTCCTATCTTTTGGAAAAAAAAAATTATCAACCATATAAGAAGATCAAACTTATATCTATATTTAGGATTTCAAAAATACTCTTGTTTTTTTGTATATTATTGACTCATTGTTACTTAATATTGAATGCATGAATCTTAATTACTCTCTAAAACAAAATAAGACATCAAGCTATAATCAATATGTGGCTTTGGATTCGAAGATTCATGATTCCTAAAAAAATTGTTTTTTAACCTTAACAATTTAAAATGGTGATGAAATATTAACATGAAGCGAAATGAAAACCTAACTGAATTATACTGATTTATATAGAATGTTATTTTAAACAGGTAATATTTTGACACCAAATTATATCAAAATATATATTAAAGATATATGATCGGATGTTTACAAGTAATAATTCATTTCGATACATCTCATGATTATAAAATCTTATATTTGATTTCTATTTGGGGAAGGCTACTGGCATGCTAGGGCACCCCTAAGCTATTGCAATTATTTATTTATTTTTTTGCTTTTTTGTTTTTTTTTATCTTTTGTTGTTTTTATTTTTTATTGTTTTCTTGTTTAAATTAATTTAAATCATTAATTAATTCTTATTTTTAATTTTTCTT